CGCCTATCATTCTATCAAATTTCAAATCATTATATTTTGATTTTTTTGGAAAATTTGTTGCTAGGTGTGATTTTGATGATTTCGGCGAATTGAATGACGAGGATGTTGAGAATGTTGAGAATGTTGAGAATGTTGAAAATTTGTTGTTACAATTTTTAATTGAAGAATTGTTTTTTAGTAAATGTTTTAAATTTTTAAAAATTTTTATACGTTTTGTGGTAAACGATGATGGTGGCGGTGGAAAATGATTAAAGATGAATTGAGCGGGAATTATTGAATCCTTTTGATTAAATGATGAAGAAATATTACTTGCAGCAGTTGAAGATTCAGAAGTTGTTGTGACTTGTGAAATTGGTTCCAAGAATGATGAAGGTGACGATAAATAAAAATTACTACCATTTTTATCACTTTTATTACTGTTATTGTTGTTTTTGTTGTTTTTATTTTGACATTTAGCGTAAATGTTATATTTAAGGTTTGGTAAAGATAAACGTTTTGAATTTTTGAAAAATTTCTTTGAAGATTTTAATTTTGTGTTTTTGTTATTAATAGAATAAGAAGATAAAGTAGATAGAGATGAATTGGAAGAAGTAAAACAAGGAGAAATTGTTAAAGGTGAAGCATTAATTATATTGTTATTATCAGCAGTATTATTATTATTAAATGAAGACGACGATGATAAATGGTCAAAAGTAATGGTAGTATCATTATTCTCGCTAATCCAATTTTCTTTTATTAATAAATTTTCGTTATAACTATCATCATCATTATTTTGTATTATTATCATTGGAGAATTTTTTTGTATTTTATTATTAAACTTTTCTTCTTGTTTGAAATTGTCAAGTTCCATGGTTAAAATATAATGATTTATTAAAGATGATTTATTTAAAGATGATTTTTGTTTTTTTTTTAGTATTTACAAAAAATTACAGTCGTTTTTTTTTTTTTTGGGAGAAAATGTTATTTTATGCTCTTTATACTTTTTTATTTTATATTTTTTTTATTTATTATTAATATAAATTTTTTCATTATCTAAATGTAGATGCATACATACCAAAACTCTTTGTTATCAAGATTTTTTTGTTTATAAATGAAAATAAAAATGCCGGATTTAATCTATACCAAAAAACTAAAAATATGATTGTTAGTATGATATTAATATATTAATTAATGTTGATTGATGAATATTATTCCGGCCAAACCGTAGCATTCATTTATTTTGGTTGGCTCAGCCTCTTTATTGTAGTTATTATTAATCAATATTTATTATTAATATATATATATTTAACCAATATAATTAAAGATATTAATTAATTGTCCGTCGGTAATATTAATAAACCGAAAATTGTAAACAGAACACAAGCGCACGTTTTTTTTTGACATTAACAAATCAGGGATTATTTGTATTGAAATATATTAATAATAATAAACAATTGAAAATTTTTCGTCGATGGGTTGCATGTGGTATTGAATGGAAATGGCAATTATTAATTCCTCGGGTCATAATTATTCATTTATTAGGCAGAGTAAAAACTGCACTGTGGATTAAAGTTATCTCTCATCTATTACTATCGGTAAAACTTTATTTTTATTTTTCTTTCCTATATTATATATTAAAAATTTAAAATTCTTAATTCTAGCAATTCATTAAATCTGGTAAAAAATTATGATAAATTTCATTTCCCATAATATGCGAAATCAAGTTTAGTTTTGTGATACCAACGGGGTATGGACAATAGAAACGTGACCAACGTCCCTGAGGACGAATTTGAGTTAATGGCACCCCTATATTGAATTCACTGCAAGGAATAATAATAAACAATATATATATATAATAATAAAAAATTAATAAAATAAAATTTGAATTTCCTGCATCTATAATAAATGGATATATTGAGAGCTTCATGTCTTTGAGCAAATCTATAATAAATAGAGTTGTTAATGAATGAATATATATGGATGATTGAGAAAATAAATTTGAATTTTCCCACATCTATAATAAATAGATATATTGAGAGTTTCTTTATGTCTTTGAGCAAATCTATAATAAATAAATAGAGTTGTTAATGAATGAATGAATATATATGAATGATTGAGAAAATAAATTTGAATTTTCTTACTGTGAATAATTAAATTAAAACATTATATTAAATACTTAGTAAATAGTTTTATGTGATCCTTTCTTTATTGCTCATATAATACATTTTGTTTAATATGTTCTCGCTTTAGAAGCATTGTTTCAACCGGTCCTCTGAGTATTTCAAGTATCTCTTAGTACAGTGAGTGCAACAAATAAGCAAGGTAAAATATCAACAGATGGTCTTGATGTTTTAAGTCAAAAAAAAGAAAAAAAATCAACAAATTTGAACTCCTGGTACATAAATATCTTTAATTTTAGAAAAGGTATATTTTGAGCAAATCAATGGATTAAGAAAAAAACTTGGTGGATTAAGAAAGTGTGTGTTTAGAAGTATTTATTACAATAATTATAATAGGAATTTTTTTTTTAAAAAAAAACTTTTCAAAGGTACAAAGTATCACGTTAACTCATTTGTATGAAACATATATGAATTGATCAACAAAGGGGTTTCCAATTTTTCTAGAATCGATCTCCAAATTTGGAAAGATCCCTGACTGTATTGTCCATACCCCATATGATGATGATGATGTCATATCTAGAATAGAACCAAAAAAAAATTTAATTTCATGATAATAAGGAAAAATAATAAATAATAATAATAATGTATTTTTTAAGAAATCAAAGGAGTTGGTACATTAGTAATAATATATTTACTAAACAATTATCATCATTATCATCATCACTATCATTATCATCATCGTCGCACGTTTCATTAAAGAAGAAGAATGCATCACAAGTTTTTGTTATATGTTTACAAGTTGCTAAATTTCATGGACATTCTTTTTTAACTAATTGGTGTGCATTTTTTAAAACATTTAAATATTTATTCATTATTATACTTTACACATTTTCAAATAATCATACCGTTTTCTAAATCTAATTACAATATAATTTAGTACGAAGAAAGGTTTTACTTTTAATAATAATCGTTTTTTTGAAAGTTACAAAAAATTTGAAAATGTTTTATACAGATGCTATGCTTCAAAACGTAAGTAAAGATTTCTTGATCAAAATTTCTTAATCAATCAACCAAATCAACCAACAATAATTACAAATATAAATTATATAGAATATCCAACTCATACCATAATTTCAATGCCTGCTTTATCCCCTACAATGACTATGGGTAGTCTGGGAACATGGCAAAAAAACATTGGCGATGAAATAACTCCGGGTGATGTATTAGTAGAAATTGAGACTGATAAAGCTCAAATGGATTTTGAATGCCAAGAAGAAGGCTACCTGGCTAAAATCCTCGTGGAATCTGGTACAAAAGAAGTTAATGTTGGAAAAGTATGCTATGCCATATTTATTTATTTATTTTATTTTAAAGTTTTTTAGAAACAATATTTTAATTTTTTAATTTTGGGTGAAAAAAAATTTGTATAGCCAATTGCTGTATTAGCAGAAAGTAAAGATAGTATTGAGGAATTTGCTGATTTTGCTGTTGAAGAAGCAGGTGCAACACCACCATCACCTAAAGCAGAAGAAACAGAAGAAATTAAGCCAGAAACACCATCGCCATCAACAAGTCAACCATCATCATCACCACCGCCTTCTTCTGAAAGAATTTTTGCTAGTCCTGTAGCTCGTAGATTAGCCGTTGAACGTAATATTTCGCTTGATCAAGTTACTGGTACTGGACCAAAAAATCGTATTACTAAATCTGATGTTGAAAACTACATAGCATCAGGTGGTGCTGCTAAACAACAACAACCAACTACTAAACAACCTTCTTCACGACAAACAAAAATCTCAACAGCTACACCAACAGTAGCTGCTTATAAAGATATTCCTTTATCCAATGTACGTAAAGTTATTGCAACTCGTCTATCCGAATCAAAGCAGGCGATTCCACATTACTACTTAACTGTGGAGGTTGAAGTTGATGAGGTTTTGAAATTACGCGAGACATTGAATAGTCAAAGTAATGGTAGATATAAATTGTCGGTTAATGATTTTATTATTAAAGCTGCCGCATCTGCACTAATGGTTGTTCCTGAGGTTAATAGTGCTTGGTATAATGATTTTATCAGACAGTAAGTAGGCCTTTAAATTACTACTAGTGGAATTAAGAAATTAAAGATTAAAATTTATTGATTAATTTATTTAATTATAATTTTTTATCGTAATTATCGTCATCCCCATGATGTAGATATCAAAGTGCTGATGTTTCTGTGGCAACAGCAACACCTACAGGATTACTCACACCTATTGTAAGAAATGCTCAATCATTAGGATTAGCATCTATATCAAATCAAGTTAAAGAATTGGCTGGCCGTGCAAGAGAAGGAAAATTAGCACCAGAAGAATATCAGGTATTTGATTGATTAACACCACGCCACTCATACCATAATATAATAATATTCAATTCACACCCGTGCTCTCATTATTTTTTCCTTAGGGTGGAAGTTTTACAATTTCAAATCTTGGAATGTATGGTATAAAATCGTTCACAGCAATAATCAATCCACCACAGTCATGCATTTTAGCAATAGGATCTGCAGAGAAAAAACTTATCCTAGATTCATCGTCTTCTAACACTGGAGGAGAATATCGAGTTGTTAATACATTACATGCTACACTTTCATGTGATCACAGAGTGGTGGATGGTGCTGTTGGTGCGCAATGGCTTAAAGAATGGAGATCTTATATAGAGAATCCCTATAAGTTGCTTTTGTAATGCTAAAAATTTTCATGTTGGCAAACAAAAATTATAAAGCGACGTGGTAATTGTTTCAAAACATCAGACAGTCCAAAAAAATAAATTAATAATTATTTGATATCATTATTATAACATTCATTATTTTTTTTTTTAATAATTAATTAATTAAATCAGATAAATTATCATAAAATATTATTAGATATTTATGTAATCCGAAGAAGATAATAAAAATGAACTGGAAAGTTCGTCATAATATGATTTTACTGAAAGATTTTCAAAATATAAGCAATATTAATGTTACTTTATTTGTGTGTAAGCAATAATCTAAACAAATTTCCCATAATAATAACAATAATACATATTAGAGACTATCAACAACAATTTTCCAACCATCTAATATTTTTTCAAATTTATGTAAAATAATTCGTTTTTCGCCATCTTGTAATCTTATTGAATGATTAAGCTATATGTATGCATGCATTATATATAATACACAAACAAACATAGTTAGCATTATTATAAAGTTAGTAATATAATAATACATCTCTTGCCCACAAAAAAAAACGATTTAATTACCAATTGTTGCTTGTAAGCTTTTAATTTTTGACCGCGTTTTTTATCTTTTCCTTTTGGTGCTTCGGAAATATGAAGTTTGGAATCAATCTCGTATATTAATTGACGTGTTTCTAATTCACCTTGAAGTTCTTTATAAATTAAAGCTGCGTGCGATTGCAAATTACTCGATTGACGAATATCATCATTGTAAACGACGTCATTTGCAGAAACTATCAATCCTTCTTCTCCAATTAGGGAATAAGGGTAAGAAATAATATCATTATTATCGTTATTATTGTTATTGTTATTATCATTAGTTGATAAAACAATCGTATTATTTTCGTTTCCTAATTCATCAAAGTCGGTTGGAACTTCAGGATCCAATTTCCATTGGTTATCAACAATATATTTATAGAAGTACTTTCTTCCTATTTCAAGATCAATTGAAACTTCATAAACTCCAAGTTGATTTCTTTTCATTGGAATGAGTTGCCAGTTTTTGTATCTGGGACCAAAAGTTCCTGTAATAGAAACATCATTTCCATAATCACAGTTCCATTGAAACGTGTGATTTATAGTATTATTTGGCCTAGTATCATTATTGTTGATAGCGCGAGTTGTTGGATCATTAGGATTAATAATTTCAATGCCATCAATAGCCAATTTTTCAGGATAATTATCATTGTGATTAAAGCCAAGAACCTCATCATTCACATTCCTTGTGATGCTGAAATCAGCGAATTCTTCTTTAGGTAGATTATTATTATTATTATTAGTCAATACTAATTCTCTCCCCACTCCTATACCTGCACCTTCTTCTTCTACTTGTCTTTCTCTTTCTATCTTTTCGTTTCCTCCATCTCCATCTTCTAGTTCACTCTGATCTGCCACTTCCCCACCTCCTTCTTCGCCTAAATTTGTAGATTCAGTGTTGTTGGATGAAGAAACTGAATCGCACTCGATTTGCGAATCATTAATCGTTACTATTACATTTGCAGAGTTGTATGGTTCAATTTCTTCGATTTGTGTTAAATGATTTTTTATTGGAGTTGTTTCATTTTCAGTTACATTATTATTCATATAATCATCATTGACATCATCCTCATTATTATTTCTTGTAATTGATGAAACTTCTCCAAATTCTTCGTTAACTTCATCAGCCCATGAAATGCTCTTTATCTTTTTGTTTTCAACTTCCTTGATAGTTATATCTTCCAGATTTATTTGTTTTACGTTGTCATTAATATTTTCTATTTCCTTTTCTTCTTGTTTAAATATTTTGTCCTTATCAACCTTTGGTTTTTTATTTTTTTCGAGCAATGAAGCTTGAATTTTCCATGAATTTTGTTTTTTCTTTATTCTAAAATTACGTTGCAGCAGGACTTTAGGAACGTCACCAGTCTTCCATTCACGATTTATGATTTTCTTCAAATCAAAATTCCCCCATTCATCTTTTATCACCATAATCCAATGAGTTAATAGATCAGCTTTATGAACATTTTTCTTATTAAGGCTAATTATATAATCGTATTGATCACATACGGATTTGGCTTTATTAATAGTAGTGATAAATTTGGATAAAAAAACCCCGGGTTCATCATTGTCATTGTCATTATGATTGTTTTTATTGTTATTGATAAATTCAAGTAACTTGGTTTCTAAACGTTTTACAAATATTCTAATTGCAATGTTTAAAGGAACTAAAGTCGCATTTTTTGGATCCACGTTATAAATATTAGGTTTTATAATTGGTGGTGGGGCAGAAGCAAGAAATTCCATAATTTAATATTTGTGAGAGAGAAAAAGGTTTGATTTGAATTTATTACTATGATTATCATTAATTAATTCTCTAGAGTTAAATAAACATTCATAGTTTTTGGTCAAAAAAAAAAAAAATTTATGACGACAATATTATTTATTATCATCATAATAAGAAAATCATTACAAATGATTTTCGCATCAATCAATCAATATTAATATTAATATTAATCAAACTTGTTTATTTACGTAAATGATTTCTAAAATCACGAAAAAAAATAATGTCACATTATTTTATTAGAATAATTTATTTGCTGCCTAAATTTAAGTTGATCTGTGAATCGATTAAAATCCTCGACATTTCAATATTGATAATATTAGAGTGGTGAAAGTTATGAGTAATATTTATTTACGAAAGTAGGGTAGCAAGAGGCAGAATCCTAAATATCAATATACCTTGAAAATAATAGCTTGTAAATAAAATTATCTCAAAACTTTGGCTCGAAACTTCGCAGATTCTTTCGCAGATTTCTCAATGATCCGAGGCTATTCTATTTCAAGTCAAACAAATGAACAAAATTTGTCATTTTCAATTGATCTTCTTTATAATTTCTTTAATTTAAAATGAGCACGATCTGGATTTCCCCAACAAAAAAAGAATGCCAAGCAATTATTTTATTGTTGTATTACTACTATTACTATGATCATAAAAATTATGACCAAATTTCGGTGATATAATATAGCTCATACTAATTTTATATATAAACTCCAAAAACTTTCGGTCGTTAAAAAAGGAAATAAATTGTCCTTTGAATTTGAGATACATATTCTTGTAAAAAAAATAAAAATAAGAATTTCTAATTTAAAAAATCGATTTCTTATAATATACAAGAATGTCTAACACACAATCAGTTACATTAAAAATCGATGATAATAATAATGATAACAATAATAATGATAACAATAATAATGATAATAATAATGACAATAGATTACTGAATTCAGAAGCTGAAAATGCTTTAAAGTCTCAAGTTAATATCGACGAACATAAACCATCTTATTGGAAATTATATTCTTTTGCCAGTAGAAAAGATTGGTGTATAATGATTTTCGGTTTAATATTTTCTGCTATTACTGGTGCTGCTGCGGTAAATATTTGCAATTTTTTAAAAAAATATTTTACATAATACATCAAAAGCCACTACTTCTAGTGATACTTTTATCAATTTATTCAATATGTTCTGGAAGCGTATTAATGAAGAAACATCATTATTAAACTTGTCAGAAAAGTAGACAATGAATTATAATTTACATACAATGTGATATTTTTAGTGATGGGTGTTTGACCGTATCATTTTTTGTAAATTTTTATATTTAAATATTATTGAAGCAACTAATCAATTTAAGTTATCTTTTGCATATTAGAATTCAAAAAATAGGGTTTTTTATAAAACATTCTTTTTTACCTTGATTATAATATCAATTGTTATTAAAAGTATGTTTAGTTAATAAACAATGATTTTTCATATATAATAATTAATATATTTTATAATGAACTTTTTTTAACAAAATGGATTTTTGATTATACATGAAGAACCATTCCGACTTTTTTTATATTTTTGATAGTAATGGTAATAGTCGAAATATTTGAATACTTTTGGATAGTAATACACCGTGAGCATGCTAATTCCTTGATTTAACGGATTTCTCGATACAATAACAACTGATTTTTTTAATTTCCCAAACTATCCGTAATAACAGCCTATTTTATCGGTAAAAAATAATTTCAACTTTGATAAAGTTTCAAAATATCTCAGATCAAGCGGAGTTGATGTGAATGTCTGTCTGTTTGATTATATTACCGTTGCACCATCAATCTCAGTTTAAACAAGTATATTTATAAACAAAAAAGTATGTTTTAGGCAATGATGTCAGCTGGCAGAGAAAAAATTGGCTAAACTGGACGAGTCCAACGTATAACTTGAATATCGTCTTAGCAATGACCATGACACAGTCCAAATTACGGCATGTTGTCAGTTCCAATTTTTAATTACATCAAAAGTCACGTGAGTGAGTCAAGTGATTAACATTTTTCAATCATAATTATCCAAGTCTGAAGTGATTATTTAAAATTTTGTCATCCTTTCCTAGAACGATTGTTAAGGTTGTTATTGTACTTCCAACCACAAAAAAAAAAAAATGCTCGGTAGTCAGTCATCAGATGGTGACTCGACTAATATTTTACCAAAAAATCATCGTCCCTGTTACTTTATTTAGAAACGTCATTTAATAATTGAAATTACTATATTTAATACTTTATTTATAATAGTTATACTTTAAAAAATTTCAAACTTATATTTCAATTTTATTCCAAGAAGAAATTAAAGAAAGAGAAATAATAAAAATTTAAAGAAAAGCTACCCACACCACATTATCAATAAATTAATCTTCGTATTAATTTGAATTTGAATTACATGTCTCCATACTTCTGTCATTATTTTAGTCAACCTAGGAATTATCGAAGAGAGAAGAAAATCCATCCATCCTGAGTAAGTCATAACTGATATAAAGAATTGACGCAACTGGCAAAGCTTAAGAGATTAATATATTCGAGATCAAAGAACAATAAGTAAAGAGATAATCTAAACTATAATAGAGAATAAAATAATATACACACTTGTTATACGAGTCAAAACTTACTGCATAATTGGCAACGATACGTCTATTAATATTTTAAATATACAATAACTCTGTTGTTATAAGAAAAATATTTATAATAAAAATCTACCGATTAAAGAAAACTTTCTACACTATGTCACAATGACAAAACACCATTGTCCCATATGCAAAGCAACTCCTCGTACACCATATTGTAAAAAACATCAAATCGTTTGTAGAATACATCGGAAAATTCATCTGAAAAAGGAGGAATGTCGGGTTTGCAAGAGAATAAGTATTTATTACTTTACAATTTGAAATCTAATTAAAAGTATTATTAATAATTGACTATTATCTCATCCTCTTTAAAAAATTTGTAGAAAGGCTAAAAGAAAACTCGTTGCCATATTTACTAATTTAATATTAACAGTCATGCTTGACTAGTGCATGAAATTCAGTGCGAAGGATTGTGTTACATAATAACAATCCCTCCTCGCACTACACGTAAATTTCATACATTGCATGCACATAATTATCTAATATTAAAATAAATTAATTAATAACATACCTACATATATGTATGTATTTTGCACACACGTTTTAATATTTTTATAAAAATATGTCTTA